TAGTGACTTCAAAAAAAGAATAATTCAAAGAATTGGGACTGAATTTCCATGGTGGTCTCAAAAGTGGATAACCGGGTCTTAATTCTGGAGCATGTAACTATTGACATAAAGAACAGAAAAAAATCCGTTATTTTAAAAAATGGTCTTAATAGCGGGGTCGTCTTAAATCTGAGTTGGTCTTAAGTAGGGATTCTACTGTATACTATATGATCAATCACAACAATTAAAGTGACCTGCCGTCCAGAGCTACCGGACGGTATTGGACGGTAATAGTGGAGAGGAGTTGGGTTTTATACCTATCCAGCGAAGGGATGTAACTCTGATCGCACTGCTGTCAGAAAAATGGAATCACCCTTTTGTCCATCCGTCCATCTATGGAAAAATAGTAGTATTCAACCTATATGGGGGGCGCAGGGTTGTAGGGCGCAAGGAATGGTCGATGATACAAAAATTAAGTGCAAATCAGGATAATAACTTGTAATATGATGATCAGAAATATATTTATATAAAAAAAAACATTAATAGAAGCCGTTTTCAAAAAAAAATCATATTTAAATGTCTACTGTATATTTATTATAGAATTCCTTACTATACTGTACTGTAGACGTTTAAGCAAAAACATGCAAAATGTCATAAGTTTGGATTAAAACTAAGGCAGAGTTCAAGTCACTAATGAAAAGTGATTTTAGAGTATAAACTTGGTAAAGAAGGTCACAGATAGCCGCAGTTGATATATGCAATATCTCAATAGATTGGATCAAAATTGTCAAGTAACGTGTGTCATACATGGCCACGGCAAAAACATGCTATATCATTAGATTGGATCGAAAAATAAGACACAGTTCAAGTCAGCGGTTATCACTAATGGAATCTGACTTGATAGTGCTTATTTGGTTAAGTGGGTCATAGATGGCCGCAGTTAGAATATGCACTGTCTCAACAGATTGGATCAAAATTTTAAAATAACGTATGTCACAGATGGCCACGGCAAAAACATGCTAAATATTATTAGATTTGATCAAAACTAAGACACAGTTCAAGTCAGAGGTTATCACTAATGGAATGTGACTTTAAAATGCTTATTTGGTTAAGTGTATCATAGATGGCCGCAGTTAGAATATGCACCCTCTCATCAGATTGGATCAAAATATTAAAATAACGTATGTCAAAGATGGCCACGGCAAAAACATGATAAATATCATTAGATTGGATCGAAACTAAGACACAGTTCATGTCAGAGGTTACACTAATGGAATCTGACTTTATAGAGCTTATTTGGTTAAGTGGGTCATAGTTGGCCACAGTTAGAATATGCACCGTCTCATCAGATTGGATCAAAGTTTTAAAATAACGTATGTCACAGATGGCCACGGCAAAAACATGCTAAATATCATTTGATTCGATCGAAACTAAGACACAGTTCAAGTCAGAGGTTATCACTAATGGAATGTGACTTTAAAATGCTTATTTGGTTAAGTGGGTCATAGATGGCCGCAGATTATGCACCCTGTCATAAGATTCTATCAAAATTTTAAAATAACGTATGTCACAGATGGCCACGGCAAAAATGTGCCAAATATCATTAGATTAGATCGAAACTAAGACACAGTTCAAGTCAGAGGTTATCACTAATGGAATGTGACTTTAAAATGCTTATTTGGTTAAGTGGGTCATAGATGGCCGCAGTTAGAATATGCACCCTCTCATCAGCTTTGATCAAAATTTTAAAATAACGTATGTCACAGATGGCCACGGCAAAAACATGCTAAATATCATTTGTTTGGATCGAAACTAAGACACAGTTCAAGTCAGAGGTTATCACTAATGGAATCTGACTTTATAGTGCTTATTTGGTCAAGTGGGTCATAGATGGCCGCAGTTAGAATATGCACCCTATCATCAGATTGGATCAAAATTTTAAAATAACGTATGTCACAGATGGCCACGGCAAAAATGTGCTAAATATCATTAGATTGGATCGAAACTAAGACACAGTTCAAGTCAGAGGTTATCACTAATGGAATGTGACTTTAAAATGCTTATTTGGTTAAGTGGGTCATAGATGGCCGCAGTTAGAATATGCACCCTCTCATCAGATTGGATCAAAATTTTAAAATAACGTATGTCACAGATGGCCACGGCAAAAACATGCTAAATATCATTAGATTGGACCGAAAATAAGACACAGTTCAAGTCAGAGGTTATCCCTTATGGAATGTGACTTTAAGATGCTTATTTGGTTAAGTGGGTCATAGATGGCCGCAGTTAGAATATGCACCCTCTCATAAGATTGTATCAAAATTTTAAAATAACGTATGCCACAGATGGCCACGGCAAAAATGTGCTAAATATCATTAGATTGGATCGAAACTAAGACACAGTTCAAGTCAGAGGTTATCACTAATGGAATCTGACTTTATAGTGCTTATTTGGTTAAGTGGGTCATAGATGGCCGCAGTTAGAATATGCACCCTATCATCAGATTGGATCAAAATTTTAAAATAACGTATGTCACAGATGGCCACGGTAAAAACATGCTAAATATCATTAGATTGGACCGAAAATAAGACACAGTTCAAGTCAGCGGTTATCACAAATGGAATTGAACTTGATATTGCTTATTTGGTTAAGTGGGTCATAGATGGCCGCAGTTAGAATAAGCACCCTCTCATCAGATTGGATCAAAATTTTAAAATAACGTATGTCACAGATGGCAACGGCAATAACATGAAAAATATCACTTGATTGGATCGAAACTAAGACACATTTCAAGTCAGAGGTTATCCCTTATGGAATGTGACTTTAAAATGCTTATTTGGTTAAGTGGGTCATAGATGGCCGCAGTTAGAATATGCACCCTCTCATAAGATTGTATCAAAATTTTAAAATAACGTATGCCACAGATGGCCAAGGCAAAAGCATGCTAAATATCATTAGATTGGATCGAAACTAAGACACAGTTCAAGTCAGAGGTTATCACTAATGGAATCTGACTTTATAGTGCTTATTTTTTCAAGTAGGTCATAGATGGCCGCAGTTAGAATATGCACCCTCTCATCAGCTTTGATCAAAATTTTAAAATAACGTATGTCACAGATGGCCACGGCAAAAACATGCTAAATATCATTTGTTTGGATCGAAACTAAGACACAGTTCAAGTCAGAGGTTATCACTAATGGAATCTGACTTTATAGTGCTTATTTTTTCAAGTAGGTCATAGATGGCCGCAGTTAGAATATGCACCCTATCATCAGATTGGATCAAAATTTTAAAATAACGTATGTCACAGATGGCCACGGCAAAAATGTGCTAAATACCGTTAGATTGGATCGAAACTAAGACACAGTTCAAGTCAGAGGTTATCACTAATGGAATGTGACTTTAAAATGCTTATTTTGTTAAGTGGGTCATAGATGGCCGCAGTTAGAATATGCACCCTCTTATAAGATTGTATCAAAATTTTAAAATAACGTATGCCACAGATGGCCAAGGCAAAAGCATGCTAAATATCATTAGATTGGATCGAAACTAAGACACAGTTCAAGTCAGAGGTTATCACTAATGGAATCTGACTTTATAGTGCTTATTTTTTCAAGTAGGTCATAGATGGCCGCAGTTAGAATATGCACCCTCTCATCAGCTTTGATCAAAATTTTAAAATAACGTATGTCACAGATGGCCACGGCAAAAATGTGCCAAATATCATTAGATTAGATCGAAACTAAGACACAGTTCAAGTCAGAGGTTATCACTAATGGAATGTGACTTTAAAATGCTTATTTGGTTAAGTGAGTCATAGATGGCCGCAGTTAATATGTGCATTCTCTCATCAGATTGTATCAAAATTTTAAAATAACGTATATCACAGATGGCCACGACAAAAACATGCTAAATATCATTAGATTGGATCGAAACTAAGACACAGTTCAAGTCAGAGGTTATCACTAATGGAATATGACTTTAAAATGCTTATTTGGTTAAGTGGGTCATAGATGGCCACAGTTAGAATATGCACCCACTCATCAGATTGGATCAAAATTTTAAAATAACGTATGTCATAGATGGCCACGGCAAAAATGTGCTAAATATCATTTGATTGGATCGAAACTAAGACATAGTTCAAGTCAGAAGTTGTAAGTAATGAAATGTGACTTTATAGTGCTTATTTGGTTAATAATGTCATAGATGGCCGAAGTTTATACATGTATGTGCATCGTCTCTATAGATTAGATCAAATAACACATGTCATAATATGGTCATAGCTAAAACATGCAAAATGTCATTAGATTGGATAGGAACTGAGGCACAGTTCAAGTCAGAGGTTGTTTCTTATCAAATGTGACTTTATAGTGCTTATTAGGTAAGGTAGGTCATAGATGGCCGCAGTTAAAGCGACTCCACCGAGGTTTAAAAGCCTAAAACTAGACAATTGAATTTCTTTCATACATGAACTAATGCACTTTAAACAGAAATATATGCAAAGATAGTTAAGAAATATACTTTGAAATAAATTGAAAATCGTATTTTTATGCTTTTCTTTATCAGTTTTGAGTGAAAAGCGTTATTCATCTTCATTTCTTTACAATTTGAATATTTATTCCGAAAAACGAAGTGCGCGAATGATCTAAAATTTTGCACAAAGATTACTGGTCTAAACCTTCTTCAAATGGTCCATTCATCTGGAAATAATATTTTCATTCCCATCATGTCATAAAAACCTCAGTGGAGTCCCTTTAATATAAGCATACTCTCATGAGATTGGCTTAAAATTGTCAAATAACATAATATTGGCCACAGGTAAAACATGCAAAATATCATAAGATTGGATCAAAACTAAGGCAGAATTCAAGGCTGAGATTGTCACTGATAACATGTCACTTCATAGTGTGGTTTAGTCAATATATGCTTCATATAAAGCATAGAAGTTCTAATAAAATCAAATGACACAGCAATTATTTGCACCACAGTTAGGGTAGGGGAAAGAAAAACTAAGAATAATGTGTAAAAGCTTTTTTTTATATATTTATTATTCATTCAGTAATTGAATATACATAACATATTTAACATAATGTGAATTATAACAAAAAAAATGGTTTAAAAATCTGAAATCAGTTGCCTAAAAGTTTACAACAAATGAATATCAACTCACAAAAAATAATATAGATAAGTGTAGTAAGACTGTTTTAATATACGAAAGGCAATTACACACTGCACTTCTCAATAAGATTTTGTTAAGAATTCAAATACCTAATTCATTTTCCAATAAATTATTCATCCCAGGAAGTTTAAGCAAAATCTGCCAACAAGTTTAAGAGGAGTTGCGTTCACAAAATTTCTATATGGTATATAGTGAAAAAATCAACAAAGGGCCATAATTCTGTTAAATTTGGTCGCAGCAAAAATTCCTTCCTTTACTACCATCTACACATTAAGGTTGTTCATCCCTGGAAGTTTAAGTAAAAATTTGCCAACCTGTTTAAGAGGAGTTGCGTTCACAAGATTTCGGGACGTACAGACAGACGGACGGATGAACAGAAGTACGGACGGATGGACGGACAAGTGCAACGCTATATGCTCCCACATTGTGGGGGCATGATAAAAAGTGTCGGACCTACTATCATCTGTCTCAACAAAACTGAAAAAACTCTGAACATAAAACTGATGAGACAATCAATTAGTAGGATACTTAACAATTTGAAGGTCTCTTTTTTTAACCTGAATTTTATTGACACAACCTCAAAAAGGAACAAGAGGGCCGTGACGGCCCTGAAGTAGCTCACCTGAATATAAAACTTCAAATGGCAAGGAACAAGTAATATTGTAAAATATAAACAAAAACAGATATAAAATCTTAAACTGATATCACAAAGTTCATATTTGTATCTAAAAGAGTACATTAGTAAAAACATTAGTGGTTGCTATTGTTAAAGCAGCATGTCTCCAGATTCATGCTAATTTTCATGAAAATTTTGAAAATATATTTAAATGAAAAATATTGTGAAGTGAACAATAAAAGTAATTTACAAATTTCAAATGGCACTTACAACCCATGTAAATTACCAAAAAGTGGTCAAAATATACATAAATAGTAAATACCTTTTAATGTGTTAGTAATGCATTAGAAATATAGTGATTGATACTGCAAAATCGGTCATTAATTGCAAATAAGATGTTAATAATTAATTAAATATTGAACCTTTTTTCTCTTCTCAAGATCTTAATACATTTTTCTTAAGATTGAATTTCTTGAAATATTTTGGCTCATCTAGAGGCATGTAGCTTTAAGGGAAAAACAACAGTTCCAAAAGATGTCAAAGAAGCCAATTTTGACCCAAATTATTTGAAGAAATTTGGAAGATACTCATTAGAAGATGTTTCATGCTAAATATCTAAACACAAGCTGTTAGTTTTTTTTTAAATAATTTTTTAAAAGTTTTACTTTATACATATAAAAAAAAATCAATAACCCCCTTGGGTAGTGGACAATTTAAAATGAGACTGTGTAGCAAATTTCAAACATAGAGCATAACATAACTTTAACATATTACAGAAAGCATGATATGGAGAGTTGTAAACAACAATTATACTATACAAATACAAGAATTTATAACAGAGTTACCAACGTCCCCCGCCTCAGGGAACTTTCATATGAAGCATAAAACTGTGCTATTTAAAAGATTTAGGTATGAATCTCAGGACTTTCAGTCCAAAATTATGATCAATGCTAGATCTGCAACTGCAACAATAAATTTATTAAAGAAATAAAATGAAACATGGAATTTAAAAATCTATGTTAAGTTTTGACCTCTAAGTGTGACTTTGACATTGGAGAAAGGGGTGCAGGCGTTGCACATGACATTATTGTAACTATTTGTGCCAAGTATTTACAAAATACCTTGAACTATAAAGAAGTTATAGATTGGACACAAAATATACCCTAAAACAGACTATGTCTTTGACCTCCAAGTGTGACCTTGGAGGTAGGGACTCATGTTTTACACCTGACATATCGTCTTATTATAGACATTTTGTGCCAAGTATTTTCAAAATCCTTTGATCGATCAAAGGATACCATATTGATATGATACCATATAACAGACTATGTTAATCTTTGACCTCCAAGTGTGACCTTGACCTTGGATGTTTGTTTGTTTTGTTTTGGGTTTTACGTCACATCGACACAGTATAGGTCATATCGCGACGTTCCAGCTTTACTGGTGGAGGAAGACCTCAGGTGCCCTTCCGTGCATTATTTCAGGCACGAATGGGCACCTGAGTAGAACCACCGACGTTCCGTAAGCTAGCTGGATAGCTTCCTCACATGAAAGAATCCAAAGTCCCTGTCGGGATTCGAACCCACAGCGGTGAGGGGCAAGTGGTTTGAAGGTCGACCTTGGATGTAGGGACACAGGTGATATGCATGACATATCATCTTATCATTGTGACTATTTGTGCCATGTATTTTCAAAATCCCTTGATCTATGAAGAAGTTATGGACGGGACATAAAATATACTATATAACAGACTCTGTTAAGCTTTAACCTGTAAGTGTGACCTTGACCTTGGAGGTAGGGGAGCAGGTGTTGTGCATGACATAACGTCTTATTATTGACTAATTGTGCAAAGTATTTTCAAAATCCCTTGAACTATGAAGAAGTTCCAGATCCGACACAAAATATCCACTTTTAACAGACTATGTTAATTCTTTACCTCTAAGTGTGACCTTGACCTTGGAGGTAGGGATGCAGGTGTTGCGCATGACACATTCTCTAATTATAGTGACTATTTGTGCGAAGTATTTTCAAAATCCTTTGATCTATGAAAAAGTTATGGACCAGACACAAAATATACCCTGTAACAGACTATGTAAGTATTTGACCTCCAAGTGTGACCTTGACCTTGGAGGTAGGTGACCGTTTTTTGCGCATGACACATTGTCTGATTATTGTGAACAATTATGGCAAGTATTTACAAAATTCCTTCATAGATAAGAAAGTTATGGACCGGACATGACATATACCCTCAAATAGACAATGTTGACCTTGAATGAGCAAGTGCTACCTTGACCCTGGAGGTAGGGGTCTGGTTGTTGCGCATGACACATCCTCTTATTATAATAAACATTTGTGCAAAGTTATATCAAATTCCTTTGATAAATATCAAAGTTATGGACCGGACACGAAAACAGGAATGGATTAAAAAGGTGACAGCTTTCTTTAACACTACATCATAACAAACAGAAAAATTGTAATGGTTTCATCATTTGGAGACATAGAACACTCAAAAATGTACTTTCAGAAGCTGGTGACATTTTTAATTGAAATTACAACGTCCAAAATGTCATTTGGTTTTATCATTACCATGTGCCAGGTCATGTACCCCTTGTTACTTGTAATTTACACAGAATTGTTATTTGTAAACAAATTTTATTGATTTTTTTCACTATATCTTATGGACATGTTTCCAGATTTGTCTCTTGTAAAATTGTGTACGCAAATTAAAAGATGTGAACATTAGAGCCGCAGTCCACAAACTCTTTGAAGAGCCCTCGCACATACATACACACAAACAGGTGAATCACTATATGCCATCGCATCGCAGATGCTGCGGTGGCATAAAAAATATGAGCCGCGCAATGAAAATAGCAACATAGTGTGTTTTTGACCAGCATGCATCAAGACCAGTCTGCGCACTGTTCACTTTCACTTTCTCTACTTGTAACAGGGTTTTTAAAATGAACAGCATGGATCCTCATCAGACTGTCCGGATGCGCAGGCTGGTCTGGATCTAAGCTGGTCGCAAACGCAAATGTTGGTTTTGTCATGGTGCGGCTCATTTTTATATAAAAATGCATAGCAGTAGCCAATTTCTAGGTAAAAATTACAGGAGACTAATACATACATAATAAATTAACTATTCATAACCTTAAAAACAATTGAGAAAAAAAAATTCTTTAAATACAAATAACCTAACCTCAGAAGAATAACTATATTACATAACTCCAATATCCAAATACAAGAGTAAAAACTAAACTGTCACCAATAAAAACAAGAGGGACATGATGGCTTTGGAAGTTCACCCAAGATAATGATATAATAGGTCCAAATTTTTTAAATCAAAAGTAAATAATTTGGTCAAAATGGGTGTATCATTCTATACAATATGCTAAAGCAGGGTCAATTTCTACCCTTTAAAATCAATTTAAAGCTCCTGTGACCTACTTATTCATCAGATTAGAACTTTATAATACTGCACGTTTGTAACGTCATTTTTCATTGGATAATCGTGTCGTTTAAGTTTTATTTACACGGCTGCTGTCGATTCATCAAGAAATCCTACTTTTTTTCTTTAAAAATAATGCTTGCTGTATTATAAATTCGTCATAAAGATTGTTGACAGGTTATATGGCCATATATAAATGGCTGTTTGCAATATAACCCTCGCCTAACGGCTCTGGTTATATTTACAAATAGCCGTTTATATAGGGCCATATAAGTTATGATATAACCTGTCAACGATCTTTATAACTAATAATATAATTTTTTCAGAGGTTCAATAGGAAATGCTCCATGCCAAATATATCTTAGTTCTGTGCATTCAATTTGTGTGGTACCATATTAAAATGTCACATAGTGGCAAGTGAGCTAAAAGAAATCCCGAATTATTTAAAATTACAAAAATTTCTTTTATTTAAAACATCTAAAGCATGCTAGTAAACAAACCAGTTCTTACATGACTAACTACATTTTTACATTATCCCCTATTTATCAACATCTCACTTAACATCTTTATTGCCACTTGTTTAGCTATTTATCACATGAGAAATTTTCTTTTTAAAATATTAACATCATTTGTTATAAATAATTACTTTTAAAAATATAATTACATTACATCACTTGATAAAAAAACTTTTCCTACTATAATGTTAATCATGTGCCACATCTGGTTTAAAAACAAATCACATGTTAAAATATTTATCACATAACATTAATTGTTATAACAAGAGGACCCAGAGGGCCATGGATAGCTCACCTGAGAAATAGGTCAAACGGTCAAATTTGAAAATTTGCACAATTGGAAACAACGGACAGCTAAATTTGAAAACAGTTTGCACACTGTCATCAAGGAAATTTTTGTGTAAAATTATTTCAAAACTTAACCAGTGGTTAAGAATTAAGATGTTGTTGTTTTATAATTTTAACTCTGGCAGCCATTTTATTAAACAGTTCAGCCTGTCACTAAATGAGAGGTGAGCTAATAAAAAGATGACAGAAAAAGAAAGGGGAAAAAAACAAACATTTGACCTGGCTAGGGAATGAACTGTCGACCTTGATCCCCTGGGGCGGAGCCAATTTTGACCCTAGGGGTTTTATTTCAACAAACATTGTAGACATACACTAGAACACGTTTCATGCCAAATATCTCAGTTTTGGATCTTAGGGATTTTCACAAGAAAGTTTTTTTTAAGTTTTTACTATATACATGAATATGTAAGGAAAATCATAATCCCTGGGGCAGGGTCAATTTTGACCCTAGGGCTTTTATTTGAACAAACAATGATATTATTTTTTTAGTTTTTACTCTACATATATTAAGAAAATCAATGACCCCTGGCCCCAGGCCAATTTTGATCCTAGGGCAATTATTTGAAAACTTGGTAGACATCCACTAGCAGATGTTTCATGCCAAATATCTAAGCTTTATCTTTTTTTTTTATTTTCACAAGAAGATTTTATAAGTTTTTACTATATACATATTAGGAATGCCTGGGGCACTGCCAATTTTGACCCTAGGGCATTTAAAAACTTGGTAGACATCCACTGGAAGATATTTCATGCTAAATACAGTCAAGACTGTCATATATGACTTTCCTAGGGGCCTTCAGAAAAAAGTCACATATGACAGGGAGTCTCTTAACAGTATCATAGAAAGTTAAAATTTAAATACCATCTATCTGTCTATATACCATTGTGTCTTAACATATATACTGTATAACTGTGTCTAACCAATTGCAAATGAGCATAGTTCCTTTAAATATTTTTTGTAAATAAAATAAGAATCCCTGTAAAGCAAATATAATCGCATGTATATCATATAAAATTTAATTTATTTTTTTGTATAAGCTCTACCTATTATAAATTTTCACAAGAAGATACTTTAAGTTTTTACTTTATACATATAAGGAAAATCAATGACCCTGGGGCAGGGCCAATTTTTATTCTATTCATTTATTTATGGTAGACATTCACTTGAAGATGTTTCATGCCAAATATCTAAGCTCTAGCACTTTCGTTTTTTTACGAGAAGATTTTTGTAAAATAATGAATTTAATTCTTTGAACAACTTTGGTAGAGCTTCATGCAAGAAACATACCCGCAAAATTTCAACAAATTTGGCCATGTGGTTTAGGAGAAGTAATTTAAAGAAATTGTTGACACATGCACACATGGACGATGGAGGACAGACAATGGGCCATCACAAAAGCTCACCTTGAGGACATTGTCCTCAGGTGAGCTAATAAAAAAGTTATATTGCAGAAACTGAAAACACTATATGACCCTGCCATAACATGGCGAAGGGCATAAGTATAGATTATCTTCAAATTAAGATAAAGATATAAATATAAAAAAGTGGCTATAAATTTGAACTGTCTTCATAACTGGACATAACAATCCCATGGAGCGTTTCTTCAAGTTCACCAGTTGACACTGACTACAAGTCATAAATGACCTTAACTCATATAGTTAATCATGCCTTCTTTTTTATCTGTAAGAAGAAAGCAAATTTGTGGTAATGAAATCATATTCCATATTATACAAGTAAATTGATTGAAATCTGTTTTTGTAGCTCCAAAATAACTGAAATATAAATTCATAAGATACGAAATACATTTGACTGAGCAGATAAAAAGACATATAGTGTCATTGAAATTTTAAACTGTCATTATGTCCTTTACTTTAAGCAGGTTAAAATTAGCAAGCAAATTAATAATCAAATTCATGGTATCCAATATTATAAAGTAAAGGAGAAAAAAAACATCCATATCAGTGTCTATTCTAGGAGGGGGGGGAATCACCCTTATTTTTTAGAATTCCCCCCTATTTTTTCAGAGGCAGGGGGAAAATTTTACATAGAGAGAGAAGGAAAAAGATCAACAAATGTAATAAATTCTCACTTTTCGATAAAATCCCCCCTGTTTTTCGAATCCTTGATAAACACTGCCATATTTGATAATTAAGAATCAGAATACAAACTGACCATATGCAGAAGTATGTAATGCTTTACTTACAATTACATAAAAGTTTATAGACAGGACTTAGATTTCTGGCCTCTGTTTTTTTCAATTCTTTGTTCACATTTTCATATGTGTCTCCATTTATCTGTAAAGGAAAAGTAAATTGCATCATGCAGTTTTTGCAAAAGAAATGATCATAATAGATCTATCACACATATATGGAAATTCATTTAAATGCAGAATTAGCAATATTTTAAAAGCATTTCAATGAATTACGTAACTTATATTATCATTAAGTGACCTAATTCCCATCCAAATGTAAATGGTGGGTGTAAAGTTAAAATAACATGAATCATATTTTGCCATAATTGCTTTCAATGTAATTTAGAAATATTAACCAATGTTACTCACAGCCAATTCTAAAAAAATCTATTGGTATGTATTTTTACTGTTGAATTGATAAAAAGTGTGAGACAGTATTTTCATATGTTAGGCAGTTTCTTTGTCCTTAACAATTTTCAATAGAAGTTATCTTCAATAACTATTATACTAGTCAATCTTTTTAAATTAACAGCCAATTCCACTCAACTTGTTGTCTATTAACTTGAGTACTATTAATAAGGACAATGCCACTTTAACAAAAGACATTTCAAAGGGATGACCGTGGCCGTTTACATCAAAACTCTTGCCCCTCTCTGTTGTGGGTTCGAATC